TGGGTGAAAATACCAGGGCGGGCGCTCATGCGCGTAGAGGCAGACGACGACAGTGAGGGTCTTGCAAACGCCCGATACTGTTGATAACTATACAGATACCGTGTATGGTACGCTCATCTGCCTGACCCGGTTCTTCGGTGTGGAACTTGACTGACTTCTGGATGCCAAGCTGTTGTTGTGGCTTTTGTCATGACTGTTGTGATGCCGCATGGATCGTATATTACTGGTTTTCAATTCGGATTGGCTTGCATGTGTTGAAAATCATTACTGCCCGCATAGATCGGGCCGTTGCAAGTTGTCTAGCGGCTGGGGCTGATATTGGCGCGGCTGGGGACTCCGATTATCTTATCGGGAAATGACCGAAAGGCGGGGTCCCCAACCATGCCCGGTAACATCCCTGGTGCTGTTGATTCATGGCGTTCCGTTGTTCACAGTAAGTGTTATCAAGTGGGAATAACCTCCTGTGTCTGTTCGATCACTGTAGTGTCCAGAAGGAAGTGGCCACGACTCGTGCGATCATTGAGTGTTAGGATTCTCTATTGTGTTCATATGCCTGCAACCTGCCGAAACAAGCCCACCATCCCTGAGCCAAGGGCGCCCCCTGTGGTGCCCAAAGCTGAGGAGTGCTCCTGGGGGGACACTACATTCAATGGACGATACCCGCCCCTTCTGAGCAACCAGTATGTTGAGAAATTCAGCGATGCTCACGCTAGGCTCTTGCACGGGTACTGTCTGCGATGTTTGTTCTAGCGAGCTGGGGTGATGACCAGGTGTCTGACACGGGGGGAGCCCCCGCCGTTGGTGGTCAGCAACTTGCAGTACGAGACGATCTTGTCTCGAAGGCTTTGTCGAGTTAAGCTGGAGCAACGGTAGCGGCAGAGATCAGTTGTGGTTTTATTCGTGATGAAGTGGCTTTTTGTAGGCGCGTATTGTTGGGCCTCAATCCGGATGGTAGACGTGTTGAACGGTATAAGTGGAAAACTAGGAGTGACTATGCTAACTCGAGGGTCAAGTTCAGAGGGCAGTTTGTGAAGGAGAAGTCGGAGCATTTGGCCATCGAGGACGCACCGTCAGGGGAAGGGAAACTGCCACTTGAAGACGCCAATTCATGAAACATTTCCTTGCAGTGATCTCCTTGTTGTGTTGAGTCAGCTGAATGCGTAAAGTCAATTTCGATCAACAGAATTGGAGCAGCATGGGTCGATGGTAGTTTTTGACTTACTTTTTGACATTTGACAGTATTTGATGGCATCAGTGTGGTCTTGGACCAGTCGCGTTTGGAGTACCCTCACTTTCGACTGGGTATCCATCGACTCTTGCTGGGCCGGTGAGCCCAATACGGCGCCCGATCTCCCGCAGAAAGTGAGCCTAGGCATAATGATACATTCTCCATGTCGTCTGACCCGTATACGGTTGCTGTCATTGCCTGGTGCTAGTGTGGAATGTTAAGAAGCTGCGCCGTTGTATTCGACAGTCATTGTACACCAAGCGCAGTACATCTGTGAGAATTTTTGCTGTTGTCAGATTCTCGGTCGCCACTCTCGTGGGGGCGTCACTTTCGACCTACGCGGCCTCGCATGGGAATTCCGTCTGGAGCTCATCCAAATCTTTGTCATCGAGCTTACACTTCACTGCATGAACCTGCAGTCGATCATCTACCTCCAGACACTGTTGTCGCTGACCGAAGAGCCCCCAACAGCTGACCTGGTTTTTCTGTTGGCCAACGTAGCCTTGTGGCTCTTGAGAGCTCATGCCAGCTACTGGATCTCCTGTGTAAAGGCCCATATACGAACTACGCTCATCTACACAGTGCATTGCACCAGCATCGGCTTGGCCGCAGACACCGCTCGAGGGCAGTCTATTCCGAATCTCATGTTCAACGACACTGCGGACGCTGTTGATGGTCTCGTCGCGTTGGTAGCTGCCTGGCGTCTACCCATCGAGTTTTCCAGCTCGCTTTACGTGTTATGGACGAACCTCACTTATGGGGTCATTCCGTGTCTTCTGATGATAGTCGTGCTGCGTAGTGCTGCACTTGCTCTCTCTATCGTGGATGGCAGCGAGCGCTGGACCTGGCAGGCTCGCAGAGACGAGCGCATCAACTTGTGTGAAGAAGCTTTCACTCCTCCGGCTTGTGGCACTCTGGCTCGACTGGGGTGGACCAGAATTTGGGTTCAACTTATTCTGCGAAGTAGAGAGAGGGAGCTTACCCTCCTTGGTAGGCGCGAGTGGATGCGCAAAATTCGTGAAGGCATCGACTATGCGCAGCCTCTGATGGTCCAGTTCGTAGCGGCCCTGGTTATGATCACTACAACGTCAGTCCAGCCCGCCGCAGTGGTTCCTATGTCGCTGATGCTGGGCAACGTAGCGGCTCCTATGAATCAGTTCCCTGGGGTGATACTGAGCTTGTTGGATTGCCGAAGTGCCCTACAGCGGCTTCACTCATTCTCTGTGTTGGTTCCTGTCCGAGCATGTGCACAGGATAAACCCGAGTTCACGCTTGATCCGAGATTTGAAGGGCGCGTCGTTGTCATTGATGTGAAGAATGGCGCCACACTTGCAGCAAAGCTCCTAGCGTCGTCGACTAACACAGCAGTTGTCCGACAGACTCCGCAGCTTTTGACCGGTTGTGGTGATACTGTGCGAGACAATATTTTCTTTGGATTGAAAAGAGACGATGCTTGTCTTGATAGCGCAATGCGACTGGCATGCTTGAGAGACTTGCCTGTGTCGAAGAAGGTTGAGACTCTGTCGATGGGACAAGGGGCGAGAGTGTGTTTGGCTAGAGCTTACTATCGTATCCTCTCTGAAGAGGCTAGGAGCACCGTCCTTGTCCTAGAGGAACCTTGTATCTCCCTGGACTCGAGGACGTCGACTATGGTGATTGCCAATTTAGTCGAACTGTTGAAGCACACTACGTCAATCGTGGTGTCGACAGACCATGCCGAAGCCTTGGTATCAAACTTGCCTCGAGAGGTTGTTTTCGTCGCTAGTGACCGCCCTAGAACCTCAGGTCAGGAGTCCTATAGAGTTGATTCAGTGGCGCCTATTGGTAACGCTGTGAACGACTCGGTGCCTGAGTGGGAGAAGGAGTATAATTCACGATGTCACAGTCGATGTGTGCCGTTAGACATCTATCTAGCGTTCCTGGCTTATGTTGGTAACGGTTACACTTATTTGATCATGGTGCTCATCGCTGGGATTATGGCCACTCAACACTTTCTGGAAGTGTTCTTCTCCAGAGTAGCTAATGGAGAGCGAGAACTCCTATGGAGTTATGCAGCTTTCCTTACGGTCTTTCTCATGTGTAACTTCGGAGCATTCCAAGCTGAGGTCTCCGGCGGGCTCCGTGGAGCTAATAAACTTTTCGCTGAGTTCGTCTCTGATCTGCCACAATATGCCATTTCTCTGGACGCCGTTGGAGGTCCTGATACTCTAAGTCGGCTCACCTCAGACGTCAATGTGGTCGATCATACTTTGACCCGCACTCTTGGTGTCTTGTGGGGAGCTGTATTATACCTTCTTTTCAAAGCTGCTTTCATGGTATGGACGTCACAGAACTGGCGGGTGACCATGTCTATGATTTTGCTAGTATGCTTAGCATTCGAGATGATAGCAGCAGGCCCATTTCGTCCAGCTAACCGCGGGGTTCATCGGAGGGCTGCGGCCGCCTTGACCCCGGTGATGGCCGCGGCACACGGCAGTTTCGAGGTCCGCGACACTATTCGGTCGTATAACGCAGCATCGTGGGTCGCTGATCAGTTCTTGGTGAATGCTACTGAAAGTGCGAGATGGCAGTTGCTTGAGGATGCGTGTCGATGTTGGCTCTCTTTGCGTCTGGAGATCATCGGATTCTTCCTAACTGTCCAAGCTACCTTTGGAAGGCGGACTGAGGACCCAATACTCGCTGGCATGTGGATCACCACTGCTCGAGCTGTCTCTGGTATCGTACAACAACTTATACACAACTGTGCAGATATTGAGCGTGATTTCGTTTCCGTGCAAAGGCTTGCTGATGATCCTTTCCCTGGTCAAAAGGAAGTCAGGCCGGTGCAAGAAGAGAAGATCTCTGGTGGCACGATCGTGATACGGAAAGCGACAGTTGGGTATGGTGATGCCATCATCCTCGAGGGTGTCAATCTGGTTGTAAATACTTCTGAGAAGTTGGCTCTGGTGGGGCCCTCAGGGGCTGGTAAGACCACTTTACTGAACACGATACTAGGCGCGACCAGAGTGTTTAATGGAAGCGTCTGCATCTGTGGCGTGAGCCCTCGTCAAGCCAACAGCAGTCTAGTTGTTCAATGCGTACCTCATTCTCCTGTTCTTTTCCGAGGATCATTGCGCCAGAACCTCGATCCCGAAGGAGGGTTGGTCGACAACCTCCTGTACGATGCATTGTTTGCTGTTGGTTTGCCGGAACTGGCATCCAAAAATTTGGAGTGTGAGGCGTCCGACATCGTCAACACTACGGGTGATCGTATACGTCTCTGTCTTGCACGAGTTGTCCTGGCCCGGAGATTCGGTCAATTGCGAGTGATACTGCTCGATGAGTGCGCCGGAGTTTTCCCGGATGAGTCTGCGAAGAGGTTCGTTGGAACCTGTCTGAGATTGTTTGAGGAACAAACTGTTATTATGACGACCCATCGCCGATTCTTAATGACTCTTTTTGATAGAATTGTGACGATTGAATAATTTTTTTAGAGCGTTGTTTCGAGTTGTATGCTGAAAGTTCATCACAACATCGAACGAACGTTCGCACATCGAGTGAATCTCCAGAGTAGGACCCAGCTGAACACAGAATGCATCAACTTTATCGAATCCAAGATGATCCAGCCACTGTCATATACTCTCTCTGATAAAAATTGCGGTTATAGCAACCGCCAAGTAGTCAGCTGGTAAAAGCTCTTTTTTCTCATTTGGTGAAACATTGCGTTGTAACGACTACGATGATGCCGTATCAAAACTGGTACCGACCACTGGTCGGCGACCAGTAGTGACTTTAAGCATGCGGAGCTAGCACCGCCACTCGTGATTGGAACTCTTCTTAGGCGCCTTGATGCAACGAAAAGCGCGAGCTCTATGGAAGCCCACTAGAACATTGAACACAACATGCTGTCCCCATGAGACACTATGATGGATGGTCAATGGCGCCACGGTCTGGCCCATCAAAGAATGCACCTTGGTCCACAACTCATTCTTTTTGACCTCAACTTCCTGTTCGAAGCGTATGATACTCGGTAGAGTTGTCCAAGCGGCAAAGGCCTGTCAGAAATGAGCTACATAGGAGCCGACATGCTTTGTTACTCTCATTTTAGTGCGACCATTGGCGTTGGCGTCGGCCATGCTGCACTTGGCCGCGTAGGAGGCAGTCACCACTTCATACCACGCTCTGAACACTCGTAGATGCCGAGCTCGCTCAAGGGTAGCTGTATAGCATCGAACCCGGTCTTCTCGAGCAATAGGGACAGCCTCTCTCAACAATACGAAGACGCGCCTTGTCAAATCTGAGAAACGCTTGAAGCGTGGCTACTGTGTAGCACGACCAACTTTGCCTTTGAAATTCCCTTGCTCGGTTTGAATCCCTCCGACACCATTCGAGCCATATCGTAAAGGCTTTGATGCTCTTCAGTCGGATCACAGTGAGGTACCAACGCTCCGCTTTCAATTCGCGGAACTTCCTCTCCTCAACGATATCGAAAAACCCTCCGAGAGCCTTTCTCAGAGTAGCCCTAGCCCATATACTCCTGGCAGATTCTAGCTTGTTCATGATGAGAGCTCGATTATGCTCAAACGCCTGTCGCTTGAGCCTGCGGAGCTCGAGGTTATCTCGGCGTCGCCATTCTTCGTTTGCTTCTCTGGTGCTCTCGTCGGCGATGGTCATGCGTTGTTGCTCCTCTCGTCGCAATTCCCGTGCCAACTTCGAACACTTTAACTGTTGAGCTCGCTGGTACATACGAAGCACTTCTGGTGGTGTCTCTAGAGAGGTCACCTTTCTCCGAGCTCTGATGAGGATCGACACAGCTATCCCTAGGGGTATTCATACTAAACGCCAAGATACGATACCTAAGCTTCGGCCTACGAATTGCATCATGTCGGTCCGAGCTCCCTTGAGTGCATGCCTCCTCCTCCCGGACGGGTACCGTGGCTCTCTCTCGTTGCCTGTGGTTTGGCACGCCTCTGGATCGTCGAGCAAGAGCTGCAGCGACCCTCGCGCGGAATCCACTCGGTTCCTGCTCCCTGAATGCAGTAGCCGTATATTGCAATACTGATCTTCAAAGGGCTCACTTCCGAGCCACTAGCTTGCGCCATTTCCTGAGCGTCCTCCTCAATACTTGTGAAGCTCGCCAACGTATAACTTCTTCGATCTTTAGCTCTTCTTGTGCTCTTTCTATACGCTGCCACAATGCTGACCTAGTCTCGTCGAGCCAGGCGCAGAAGTGTTTGGTTTTCACAAAGTAAACTTGCACTTTTCGTGTCTGCAGTGGAGGAATGCGCTGATTTTTGATGTATTGGTAACCGCTCACTTTCACAGCGAGAAGTCTCCAATTCACTGTTGCCCGCAGGAGCTCTTTAAAACCCTTACGGATCAGAGCTCGGCTGCGTCGTTGTTGCCACAACGATAACGTAGAGACTATACTGAACAAGAGCGTGAGGAGTCTTCATTCCACATCGCTCCGCTCACATTTCCACACTCCGTTGCCATCTAGCATATTGCCGTTGTTCACGCTTTTCAGCCGAGTCCTGCAACTTAGGTAACCCCGGGGCCTGTTTGTTCAGCGTGGCCGTCGAGACCTCATCCAGTTGTTGACATTCAGTCTTCGCTATGCCTTGGCGTCTGCTGGCAGTCCTCCTGCTCCTGGAGGAGGGTTTGGTAGCTGTTAATGTATTATGTTCAGAGCGACGACGTAACTCCTCGATCTCTCGTCTGACTTGTGCTCTAGCTAGTGTCAACAGCCGTCTGTCATCTTGGGTAGCGTCATGGGTACTTCCGTTCGTCACCGCACTGCCTAGACGTGGTTTAGTCTTGTCAATAGGCCGAGGAGCAGACGCCCTTCGTTTCGCCATTCTATCCCGCCTTCTAGCCTCCATCGTATACACCTGCATCAGGACTGTGCAGTGTCGCGGGCAGTTGTTCAATCACAGTGTCGTCGAAAACCGGAATTCCCTCCGGATCCCGGCTGAACACTCTCGTTGGCGTATCAGTGGGCCGTTGTACCGTAGGCTTCGCGAGCCGGTGAAGGACCTATCGGTGGACCGTCAAGATTAACCTGATCGGATGCCACCGTGGGAGTACTTGAGTGGCCAGTGCCGCGTCTCGGTCGTCGATTCCTCTAGCAGCGCACAAGGCACTCAGCTTAGCTATACTGCTCTGGTGAATGGTGTACGCAGATCGATTATCTTGTGGATTTCTAGTAGTTCCGTATCGATCAGCTTGGGCGGCCACGGTGTCGTCAGGCCATCGGTGATTCTTAACTCGTGGATCGTCCTCTATCTTCGCTGATTCATCCTGTACATCTACCCACGACTTCAATAACGCGCCTAATAAGGTTCCGTCATGAACTTCCCCTTCCGTGTTGCAGTATTGGAATATATACTTGGTTTCCTCAGCCAAGCTCTCTACATTATGACTTAGAATAGAAGTGCACGAGAACACACAAGAAGTTCTCAAAATGTTATTGTCATCAACGCGCGCATTTGACAATGTACCTATTTCCTCAGACTGCTGTGTTGGAATTACGTAGAAATT